CACACACACACACACACACACACAGACACACACACACACACACACTTCTCAAACTACTCTTATCTACCTGTAACACCTCTCTCTCTCTCTCTCTCTCTCTCTCTCTCTCTCTCTCTCTCCCCTCGATAAGTTCAACGACGATCTATTTTCTTTTCTTTTTCTTATTTTTTCTCTCTTAGCAATGGCCGGAAAGGCACTGTATTTTGAATTGATGTCCCAACCTCCCATTCTTTTCTTTTTCTTATTTTCTGTCTCTTAGCAATGGGCGGGAAGGCACAGGATTTTGAATTGAGGTCCCACCCTCCCACCCCTCTCCGCCAGGCCGGGTTCGTATCAGGAGCGGTTCAACGTTCTGGACCAGGCATTGGGCCAAACGGGCCTGGCGTTTGAAAGCGGAACTTTCTTGCAAATACGGGGTGGGGTGACATTTGTTCACCGCCTTATACCCGTTTTTTTTTAATCAGTTGCGAGCCATTCAGCCACATGGCATGGGTCAAAGCATGACATCACTTGGGGGGGGGTTGAGCATCCGTGAAGAAGGGCGAGGGCAGATAAAGAGGCCGGCGAAGAAGGGAGACGGGGGAGGGGAGGGGGGGAGAAGGGGGGAGGGATGTTCCACCTGATGACGGAAACACGACCCGTGACGACGTTGGCACCGAAGGAGAACTGTGAGTTTCAGACATCGATTCTTGGGGAAGTAATTCTTTACTTAATTTGTTTCTCTTTTTTTTGGGGACAAGTATTAAGCCGACGTATGAAATGAACAAAGTGAATAGGCACGAAACTCTGGAGAATGAAGCTGATTCCGAAGTTTACCTGAGCGTTCCTTCGTAAGCGGAGCCACAGTTTGCTTGCTGGACATCTATTGAAAGCAAAGGTAAGTCAAGTCAATGCAGAGACGGACAAAGAACTCAGGACTCAAAAACACTGAGCGACCAGAAAAGAGACACTGCCACACGTCCCATTATAAAACACCTCTGCTGGGCTAGAGGCAAGCAAATTATTGGGATAGTTCGTGGAATGGAGAAATCAAACCCCCTCTGGTGAGACAACACTGTCACATAACGCCCATAACATACTACAAATTATCTTATCGCCTCCAGCGTGGGCTTCGTATTGCTGCACTGCGGCAAGGCCTGACACGGCCCATTAACAAAAACGAAAAAAAGAGGACGACACAATCGTGAAGCAAATACGCTTTTGGGATATCCAGAGACGTACCTTCATCGTTGTAGTCGTCTCCTTGGTTCCTTTGCGGTCCTCCGAATGCTTGTATCCCTTGTCGTCGCAGATCATGTGGTCCTCCGTTTCGATGTGCTCCTCGCGAACATCCTTCTTTACCTCCATGCGTTGGTGCTTCGTGTACCCCCTGTGGTCCTCCCGCAACCCATCGCTCTGTTTGTATTGGTGCTCTGACTGCTGTGCTTCATCCTCAGTTCTGTGAACGAGGGAGGTGCTTTCATCGACGATCTTCACCTTACCTTTGTAATCCTGCTTGCGCACTCCCTTCTCAGTTCCTTTCAGCTTGATATCCTTCGTTAACTGCCCGGGTCTGACATATCCTCCGGAGCTGACATATTGGACCTCTCCATCCTCGCCTTCTTGCAGCTTGATGTCCTTCGTTAACTGCCCGGGTCGCACATACCCTCCGGAGCTCACATGATGCACCCCTCCCTCCTTTTCTTTCAGCTTGATGTCCTTCGTTAGTTGTCCGGGTCTGACATATCCTCCTGAGCCAACATATCGTACCCCTCCCTCCTCCTCTCCTTTGAACTTGATATCCTTCGTTAATTGCCCGGGTCTGACATATCCCCCGGAGCTGACATATTGGACATCTCCCTCCTCCCTTTCTTGCAGCTTGATGTCCTTCGTTAACTGCCCGGGTCGCACATACCCTCCGGAGCTGACATGCTGCACCCCTCCCTCCTCCCTTTCTTTCAGCTTGATGTCCTTCGTTAGTTGTCCGGGTCTGACATACCCTCCAGAGCCAACATATCGTACCCCTCCCTCCTCCTCTCCTTTGAACTTGATATCCTTCGTTAATTGCCCAGGTCTGACATATCCCCCGGTGCTGACATATTGGACCTCTGCCTCCTCCCTTTCTTGCAGCTTGATATCCTTTGTTAACTGCCCGGGTCGCACATACACTCCGGAGCTGACATGATGCACCCCTCCCTTCTCCCTTTCTTTCAACTTGATGTCCTTCGTTAGTTGTCCCGGTCTGACATACTCTCCGGAGCCAACATAACGTACCCCTCCGTCCTCCTCTCCTTTGAACTTGATATCCTTCGTTAACTGTCCGGGTCTGACAAATCCCCCCGAGCTGACATATTCGACCTCTCCCTCCTTCGTTTCTTGCAGCTTTATATCCTTTGTTAACTGCCCGGAGCTGACATACCCTCTTTCTCCAACTTTGCAAGATTGCTTGTCACTCGTCTCCTTCTTGCTCTTCTCGACAGTCTTCACCTGCTTGCGATGCTTGCGATCGTCCTCGCTCTCGGTGCTGCTGTCAACCGCCGGCCGCACGTGCTTTGCCTTTTTCTCCACCTTTACACTGGTCGTTTTCGCTTCGGTCTTCACATGCAGGTCGTCAGTATCATCTGAGACAGCACCTTCAGTCTTCTTCTGCTGCCGGCGAACTTCAGCCGTTGCCGTCTTCGACTGCACCTTCACCTCGTGACGACGCGATCTACGATGACGCCTGTCAGAGGCCCTGTCAGAAGAAGACTCAGAGGAAGACCCAGAGGAAGACTCAGACGAAGACTCAGACGAATCCGAGCTGGAGTCCCGCCGACGATCAGCAACGCGCTGCCGACCGTGCTCGTGCTCATGGCGATGATGCTTTTCGACTACCTCTGACTTCTTCTTGCCCTTCTCCTTCCTCAAGACATCCTGCATACGCAACCTCCATTCCTCATCCCCCGAGTCATCGGAAGTAGAAGACGAAGACGAACTCGAGGTAGAAGACGATAGCAAGAGCTTCTCAGTGCAAGTGCGAGTACTGCTGCGCTGCACTGCTGATAACTTGAATGCTTCAGCAATCAATCCCGATTGGGGTCTGCAGGGCAGGAAGGACTCCATTTTCGACACGAGGCTCCTCACGTGCCTCTCGCACTTGAGTCGAGCGAGATCAAAAATGCGTATGGCGAGAAGCAAACGTGCTCGAGGCGCCGTGCCGACGCTGAGACCTTCCTCCACTATCCTCGCCAGAGTGTCCCACTGTTTACTATTCGAGAAGAGACGAAGCCTGGCGAAAGCCCACACCTTCTGCTCAATGAAATCTTTAGCAATCGCTGAACCCGAGTCCCACGCTCCTCCAGAAGACACGTACAGAGAGCGATGCCTGTCGCACGGAGGACACCTCTCATGATCCCACGACATTCGCCACCCTTTAACGGAAACCATCAGCGGATACACGTAGACGTGCGTGTCGAAAACGACAGCGGGTTCAAACTCCCAGTTGCCAAGTTTCTTAAATTTCTCGTTGAACCAGGCAGGAGCAATTTCCGCGTCCTTGCCTGTGATAAATACGATGATGCTCTTGCCCGCAGAACACCATTCTGTATCGCCATCGACGGCGAAGTCCTCTTTGTCGAGCTGAAGATCGACGGTGGAGCTGGACACAACCACTTGATACTCCAGCTGGAGAAGCTTGAGAAGCTGCCGGACTTGTCGCCGACGGAACATTTCCAATTTCTGGAGGATGATTCTTCCGGAACGACTGATATGACGGCTCTTGATGGAGACGGTGCCTGACAGCGCCTCAGTCCAGCCCGGGGTACCCTTGAGAAGAAGCATCTCTCTCACCATCTCCCACCGTTGATTGAAAGCCCATTTCAGAATCGTTTCCGGGACATGCCAGTGGTCGCCGATAGCCTCGGCTTCTTCTTTGCGGAGAGAAAGAACTGTTTCCAAGACGGCGCGTCCACCCTCGGCTTTAGCTTCATGCAGCCTCGAGACGAGCTTCTCATAAGCCTTCCTCGATCCTGCACCGGCGCTTATAGCACTCTCCTTCCTGGCATCCTCGCACCTCGTTACCTCCCAGCCCCACAACCTTTCCCTCACGCCACCGAAGTCGTTGTTCGTCATTGCGTCGACAGACTTCGATCGCAAATACTCGGCGGCTTCCAAGCCCATTGGCCCGACGGCTTGGTAAATCTCGCAGAGAATGTCGTTCTGCCTCTCGCGGGGGCACTTGTCCGGCCCGCGAAGGAGCAATTTGCCAAGCTGAAACATGCACTCGCCTCCAAGCAATTTCAGGCCGTTCAACACGCTCCATTCTTCCTCCGAGATGCGCTCGGCAGCGTCCCCTCCCTTCTTCAGCCCACCGACCAATTGGGTTGCCACCGGCACACTCCCTTTCCCCGCAAGTTCTTCCAACGACTTCATCAACGACTGGAGGCGCTGCGGGTAGCGGGTCGTTCTGGCTTCCTCGACCAATGAGAGACCTACCTCCATGGCTCGGACACCTCCCAGAACCACCAACTTCCCCATCAAGTGCATCTCCCACATTGCTTGATCTGTCCACCTGCAGTACGATTCGCTTCTCTCTTTCACCCTCACATGTCTCCCGCCAGCCGCAGCTGCGCGCCAGCCGACAGTCCACCAAAAGTAATCGATCATCGTGTCGGCAACCTTGAGGCCGACTGGTCCGGCTTCCTGTATCATCTCGGCAACCACCTTCCTCTCCAATTCCCCCAACCTCCTCCATGATCCCTTCACGCTTACCTCCATCTCGCACCTCTTGCTCGCCAGCAACTCCACCAGTCTTTGTCCCGCCTTCACGGCCTTCGTCCCGCCCGACACGTAGAGTTCATTCAGTAGCCCGCGCTGCGTCCATTTGCACACTGCCTTCCCCGCGAGGTGACTCTGACGACCTGCTGCAGAAGCGCCTGACCGTGCCTGACACAGAGCCAAAGCATTGCTGGCCCGATGTTTGCCGCCGGCGACCAAACTGCCTGTTTGCTTCATTGCCCACAAGGCATAGCATAAGCCGATGACATCCTCCGACACTTTCCCTGGAGCAAGCCCCGCAACGGCGTTGTGCAGCGGACCCTTCCTCCCCTCCACCATCTGGTGCAACATTTCATTCCCGCCTTCCTCCGATCCTGCGAACGACAGCGCACCGCGATTCAGCCGGTCGGTTAACAACCACAACAGGCGACGACAAACGAACGTACAATAAGCACCCATTAGAATAAATGGAAATCGGACATACCTTGCGCCACCTGAACGTTCCTTCTGACTCTCGTGCACTGATGCTCTCGACGTCACCTACCGGGCGTAGCTAAAGACGCGATCCCCACCCATCATTCATTGATTACACTAGCTTACGGAAAATAGACGTTGGTTGAGGTAATACCATTCCTTTCTTTGCTCGATTATGTAATCGAGTCGCAAGATGAACGATGGGTCATAACTAATTCTGATGTCGTCGACGTAGGATAGGATTAAGGTTCACAGAGAGAAAAACAACGAATCGACAGTCAGTCGTTTACATATCCGTCGATAGGGATTCTAAGAAGGCTTGCCTCACAAAGTACGATAGGGATGACAGAACACCATCGCATAGCATGCAGTCAGTTTTTAGCATGTTTGCTTTCTAAGGAGCCGAAACACTGCGTGGAAAAGCGCAAACATTCACATAAAAAATCCGAGGAGCCAAGGGGCGAACAGTGGGACGTTGACACGCCGGCACATTCCTGAAATCCGATCGCTCCGCTGCACTGCCTGGCAAACAACAGTAATGTCAACGAAGATTTCAAGGTGGATCGTTCCACTCCACTGCCCGTACAGATATCATATCGGTCAGCGCCAGCGATGATAAGTAGACTGTGAGAAGGCACTATTGCGAGGCCATGTCGGAGGAACGATCCCAACCATTCGCGCTCGTGTACGCCATGGACACATAACCGTTATTGTTCATTGCTTTTTTCGCGTTTTAAAACCACTGCCTCAAAGAATCGCAATGCCTCATTTCAAATTGCCACGCCCACAAAGTGACATGTGATTGGCCGTGCCAGGCGCAAGGCCGCCAAAGTGCCTTCTTCAATAGACTGAAGAAAAAACAAATGGAACTCGACTACATGTGACGAGGCTACATGCCTCGTTAACCAATGCGAGGACGACGAAAAATTCCGCTCCGTCAATAGAATTGCAAATGCGATTATTACCCCGATGATTATCCCGAATATCATTAAATAAGCACACAGTATTTTGAAATAAAACAAAACTCGAAGAAGAAGAAGAAAGCGAACGGGATCAAGCATATCAAATTCCGTGGATTCGCCATGGATGCCCCGGCGCGCGCAGAACAAGGAGGATAATTACGGGGGGACGGGGTGGGAAACAGTATTTTCTGTAGGTTCGCAAAAGTGCCATTCAGACAAGGAAGAGTCGGCAGAGATGTTACTAGCCGAAACTCACCCAGAAGAATCTCTTCCACTCGTTGCCGGACCTCTCCACCACACGCCTGCTCCAAACTCTGCAAAAGCCGAACTGCCAACTCAGACGCGCTTAATCTGGGAGCGGGAAGAGCTGCAGAAGTTTCCCACTCAAGAGCGCAATCATATTCGCGCCAAAAATCGGTATCTTCGGCAATGCGAGAACCCGCCAGCAGACCCCTATACCCAGCCACCTTGAAAAGTCGGGCATAAAGCATATTAACCTCCTTCCTCCGGAACCGACTGGCCGTTTGCGTCAAGGTCTCTCCAACCTGCTTACCACCCCACCACATTCAACGTTTTCCATACCCCCAAACACCAAAATATAAAGTCGCCAATGCATCAAGCAATCAGTGTGTCTGTGTGCATTCCTCTGAATACGACTTGCTCGATAGCTACGGAGAAGCCTTTTGTCCAATTACCACCCCACCACATTCAAACGTTTTTCATCCCCCCAATGCCAAAACATATAATCGCAAATGCATCAAGCAATCAGTGTGTCTGTGTGCGTTTATCTAGAGTCCCAAGTGCATCGATCTTTGACTTCATGGGGGACTTCAGGGGCTACGTCCACTATAGGGAGTCGGGGTGGGGGTGGGGGGGGAGGAGAAGGGATGGGAGGCGTGACTTGGATTCCATTGCCGACCGCTTACAATCATCCGGCCCGAACATCTTACGACCGCACGTTGAAGAACACTAAGCCCAAGCCCCGATGTCAACAACAGAAATAAAAACATGCTTGATTACCGTAGTAACTTACCATCTAACTGATGAATCAACTTTTACAGATATAAAAACATGCGTGATTACTTTTACAGCTGACCATCTAGCCTCCAACGGAGTCCATATGAACCTCATGAGAATCCAACAGGGTCCACAGACAAGCAAAGAAAACGCAATCCCATACAATCATCCGGCCCGAACATCTTACGACCGCAGTTGAAGAACACTAAACCCAAGCCCCGATGTCAATAACAGAAATAAAAACATGCTTGATTACCGTAGTAACTTACCATCTAACTGATGAATCAACTTTTACAGATATAAAAACACGCGTGATTACTTTTACAGCTGACCATGTAGCCTCCAACGGAGTCCATATGAACCTCATGACAATCCAACAGGGTCCACAGACAAGCAAAGGAAACGCAATCCCATTCCACTCACGTAAACAGTAGATGCAATAACAGAGTCAAGAGCAGATAAAAATATGCTTGATTACTGTCACAACTGACTTCGACAATGATGATGAGAAACAGCAACTTCAGACAGCAAGTGAGAGGTTAGAATGCAATGTACTTGTTGATTCATCAGTTTGATAGTCAAGTGGCGATGCAGAATCTCTGAAAGAAAAAACAAAAAAATAGATCCTGGTTAGCTTGGCACATTTCGAACGCATATTTTCACGGGACTCTCTGGAAGGTAGCTTGCCGCAATGGTGCCCGGATTTAGTCCGGAGTATGCCTGACGTGACAACCGCCTTAGACTCTCAAGGAAGCGTTTTAGATTCTCTGGCATTTTTTTTCAATTAGAATTCGGAGGACGCAGCATCCTTTTCACGTTAACCACTTCGATCGGGGAAAGAGAACAATACGAGCCCGATGTCTACACACGCAACTCACTACATCAATCGGATTCATTCAGGGGAGGGGATGAAGAAGAACGGAACGGCGTCGGCGTCGTTCTCTCTCTCTCTCNTCTCTCTCTCTCTCTCTCTCTCTCTCTCTCTCTCTCTCTCTCTCTCTCTCTCTCTCTCTCTCTCTCTATCTATCTATCTATCTATCTATCTCTCCGACCAACACCCCCACAACGGGCCCGGCGACGGTCAATCGATCAATCAATCAATTAATCATCCCACACAGGCATAAGGAGGACATCGACCTAGGGGAGCGGATGAAATAGAATATAACGGGATAAAGATGCAGTCCGGGGAGGAGAAAGATCGCATCCAGGCGCGGCAACAGGACGGAACGAAACATGTCCATCCCGACGCCTCCCTCCAATCACCTGCCCACCGTCGTCGGCCTCCAGACATCACCTCCCTCTCCCCATCATCTTGCTCCTCCCATCGTCGACCTCCAATGTTAGAGCCACGCGACGTGATTGGCGGGGACCAAGAGGGCGGTGGGATTGGGGGAAGATGGAACACGAAGGTTCGACAGGGGATGTAAAATGGAATAGAGATTGTATGCGGATGGTGTCGGGACGGACTGATTATCTATCTCCTTTATAGAGATTGATGCGGATGGTGTCGGGACAGAACAGAGTAGGGATGCGGACTGATTATCTATCTTCTTATGACCCGACGAGGACAGGGACGAGGCACGACGGCCGAAACTCTCTCTCTCTCTCTCTCTCTCTCTCTCTCTCTCTCTCTCTCTCTCTCTCTCTCTCTCTCTCTCTCTCTCTCTCTCTCTCTCTCTCTCGGGGAAACTCTAGCCTGAATAGAAAGCTAGTATATTTGAGAGGAGAACCACACTCAAAATGCGAGAAACAACCATTCGGGCCAATATCCGACATTAGACGATGATTCAAAAAAGAGAACATTGAAAGGAAGTAGCCAGACAACGCACAGAGTGGTGTAATGAGCACAGGTACGAGACACGCTGTAATCGGATCTCTACCAGTGACCCAAAAAAAACGAGAAGTCCGAGGTGGCAGTTGCAGGGCCGTCATAGCACCTTAAGGGCCTCGGAACCGCCAAAGCAATGCAGATCTCTTAAGAGCCTCTTCCTCTCGTCATGATGGAGGTCCCATCTTCCCGTCCAACCGGCGCTTCCTTTGCCTCCCGGCCATGGAAATGACAGTTCATCTACCTGGCACTCGGGCAGCGCCGCACAGCAATCTGCCGATGCCAACGTCAACAATAACCTCCTGCTGTGGTCGCAGGCAACCCCGTCTACCCATGATGGGGGAGAAGACACCCCAGGTGCCGCCGTGGCGTCGCGCGCCATGTTCGCTGCAAGACGCAAAGCACGCAACCCTCCCAAATCTGCAACCTTGTTGTGAATCCTCGTCCTCTCCTTGGAACTGCATGCCTTGCTCACAAACCCACCGCAACTGGGGACAACAAGACCGAGAGCGACGTCTACACATTCGGGACCGCCAAGAAGAAACAACTCCGACACTTTGGCGCGAGTTTTCGAGTCCAAGCATACCAATTTGCAATCGATCGCCTCTCCGCCATGGATATGGCCCCGCCAGGTGGCATACCCCGCGCAGTCATCCATCTCGCTCTGCCACACAATCCGCCTGATACAAGACGAGCAGCCGTCGCAGCCTATTACACGGATTGGAGAGTTACCTAGACCACCGACAGAAGTTCACTACATATAGATAGATCGCCAGACGTACCGGCGAGGGGCTTTTTGCCTGCCAACAAGGAGAGTCTCTCTGCCGAGTGGTGGGGCTCACTCGCAAAGAGGCTTGGATTCAGACCCTGAATCTGAAAGTGTTTTATGCACCGATGCAGAAAAGCAGATCTACCTCGGTACTCTGCACTTCTCCCCAAACAGGTCCAGATTCAAGCGACACTACATATAGATAGATCGCCAGCCGTGCCGGCGAAGGGCTTTTGCCTGCCAACAAGGAGAGTCTCTCTGCGGAGATGTGGGGCTCACTCGCAAAGAGGCTTGGATTCAGACCCTGAATCTGAAAGTGTTTTATGCACCACTCTGCACTTCTTCCCAAACAGGTCCAGATTCAAACGACTTTGCTAGTTGGATGACGCCTCTGGGCCTGAGTCCTAACTTACCGGGCCTTCCTGTTTCTGGGCGCCCGTCTGGAAACGATGGGCCGGGTCGCACCTTTCGGAAATCAGAGTCGAGAACGAAAAACGCGTGTCCTCTAATCAGGGCGTACTCGTACTACGGACCTGGCCGCAGTCGAGCACGAAACGAAAAACGCGTGACCTCTAATCCGGGCGTACTCGCACTATGGGCCTTGCCGTACTACTCACCAAACACGTTGTTGGTGAGGTAGGCATGGCCGCACTACCTCACCAATTCCCTTTTGTCAGAATGTAGTCCGAATTAGGGCCTCGCTACACTACTCTAGACTCTCGAAGTTTGGAGAGTGGGTCGTCGCCGCACAGATGGAGAAACTCTCTAAGCCCGATGGAGAGCTGTCAGAAGGCACGCTATAACGCCACTCTCGAAACGTCTACAGCAGCCCGCCTGCAAACACAAAGGGCCTCGCTGCACTACTCTAGACTCTCGAAATATTTCTAGAGTTCATCTAGCGTTGTCAGAGAGGCTAGACTCTCGAAATACCAACCTTCCCTGCACTTAGGGCCTCGCCACACCACTCTTGAAACCCGGTTTTCAAGAGTTGGAGCCGTCGCCACACAGCCACTTGAGAGTTGTGGCCCGAAAAATCTTTCGAGAGTTGTCAGAACCTCGTTTCCAGAGTAGCTCTCGAAACTCCTTAAGCGCGCAGCCTGCAGCTCCATGCTTTTCAAGTGTCCTCCCGAAGGCACTCGAAGGACTCCCGATTTTTGAGAGCTGTCGGGCCGTTATCCTGACGCCATTCGGAAAAAACAAAGCTGCACGACTGTCGTTTTCCATCGTTTGTCCAACACCATCACGCTTTCGAGAGTGCTGTGTGGCGAGGGGCCCGGAACTCTTGAAAACCCAACTCTTGAGAACGTCTGACAGCTCTTGAAAAATTTCCCCATTTCAAGAGTGGTGTAGCGAGGCCCTTACTCTATAAACTGTTACACTACATGAACTCTCCAAACCCTGCGCGTCATCCCACTCGACAGAAGAGCTGCAGCACTGCACTAAGGCACAAAGTCTGACCACCGGGACAGGAGGTCCACTCTCGAAAAACAAGCGGGTCGACAGCCAACTCCCGAGGACACTTGTGAATCCGTGTTTTGCAGGCGGGCGACTCGACGTTTCGAGAGTGGCCATGTAGCGTGCCCGCTGACAGCTCTCGATGGGGTTTCGAGAGTTTCCCGATCGAGAGCAAGTGCAGCGACGTCGCACTCTCGAAAATTCGAGAGTCTAGAGTAGTGTAGCGAGCCCCGAATTCACAAGTGTCCTCGGGAGTTCCCTGTGACGCCCAACCTCACGCCCAGCGCGACTTCCTGATCGGAGTGGGATGTGGGCCTGGAAGTGCGAAAAGAGGTGTGCCAAGGATTTTTGGGAAAGTGGGGGTGGAGTCTCAGGTCAGAACTGAGATCTCCTGTGGCAAGGTTCTAGGGGCACGGGTGCAATAAGGCTAAGGGCAAGTTCCTTCCGGTCTGTTGGCGTTTATGTCGAGCAGCATAAGGCAGATGGCATCCGCGGTGCATTCAGGGCCATCCGGTCCGTCTGTTTTGGGGGCGGCGGTTCGAGGAGGGGTCTGCCCCGGATGGCTGAGGTGCTGATGAGTCGGGCCTTTGGGGGCCGCCACGTGGCGTCTGTTGTCGTGCGTTTGGGTCAGGCCTCCTGTTTTCAGGGGCTCGTCGGTTGCCACGTTGCCGGCAGTTTCCGCAGGGCGTGCAGGGCCAGTACTCGGCGATGGAATTCCACGAGACAACTGTGAGCTGGTGATACGGAAGAAGGAGGCAGAAGGACGGAAGTTGGTGGCGATGACGACGAAACCGGGGGATATGAAGTAGTGCGAGTTATCCGAAGTGGGAAAATCGGGACACCTTGGATCGTTGGTGGTGGCACAGCGAAACTCCCTGGGGCACAATCGATTCTCGTTTAGGCAGGGGAATTTCGTGCGTCTCTGTCTGAGACACTCTCTCACCCAAGGGTCGAAATACTCCGGGTCCCACGACGAATCTGAGTCCCCTGAGTACGACATCTTGTCATCGCGGTGTGCTGGAATTCTTCCGCACGCATCTCACCAGTAAGGGGGATTTTCCGATGCAATATCGGAACTCTCTTCCGTCTAGGTGCATGGGGGAAGAATTATTCCCGTCTATCTGGTATCGAAGGTGCCAAGCTCGCCAATGGTTACGAAGCGGCGCGCGTGGACACGTGTAGGCTGCGCAAATCAGATCGCGCTCACACGCACCCCTGCGAGGTATTCGCTTATTTCTGGATAATCCACTACTCAATCATCTAATCACTCCGTGATCCAGTACGCAATCGTTCCTGAGCATGCAAGATGCAGTAAAAATAGCAAGGGAAACAATATTGATGACTACGCAAAATTCCTACTATGCTTATGAGTGTATCTCAACGACAAGCAAAACGACGAGCAAAGGCAAGGATCGGGCAAAATGACACGCAATCCGACATGACATTCATTCATCCATTCATTCGACCGAACACACAGCCAACAAAATCGAGATCAATCGCAAACGGGTGTGGGCGAAAAAAACAAACCAAGATTCCGCAATAAAAGAAAACGGGCGAATCGCCCTGAGCTGAGATCAAAATTTATATACAAAAGCAAAGAGGGAGGAAAGACAAAGGAAACAGCAAATCCACGTCCATCAACCTCAGCTCCCTCTTCCTCTCTCTCTCTCTCCGATGCGGACAGTCCGTCGTCGCGCACCAACCCACGAAGTCGTCACCCCGTTTAGTCCTCCCACACCCGTCAGGTTCGCCCGCGCCCACAGTCCGTCGTGGCCCTCGTTAACCCCACGAGTTTGGCACCAACTCGTCGGGTCGCCCGACTCCCACTTCAACTCACCTCTTACTTCGCTCGTGAGCCGACCCTCACTGATGTCGCTACCCCAAGCTTCCAACAGCTGGTTAAGAGAGCTATCTAATCTCGCAATCGGAATTTATAGCGTGCATGCATGCGCGAAGAACAAGGAATTACAAAGACTTAGAAGAAAGATCAGGAGAGGGAGCGCCTACGTTCTGCATGGTCAGATCGCGGTGTGGGGGACGTAGCCTCTCTTCACGCATCGATCCAAACATGCAGTCCGCGGGCTGGCTAGACACAGCAAGAGAAAGCGAGAGCGGGAAAGACGAAGCATAAGAAGAAAGGATACAGTTACAATGACGCCCACACAAAAATACAGTTACACACACGATTAAAGGCGCTGACTAATCAGAGTTCCATTGCAGCCAAACGGAGAAGCACGTAAGCAAAGAGCGCTGCGCGGCAAAGGAAAATCCTCATTGCAAAATTTCTAAACTCTTGTCTAATGCAGAAAAAATGAAAAACACAAATCCCGAAAAGAAAGTTTGAAATTCCGAGAGCCATAGTGGTTCGACAAGATTCGAAAAATAATTCAAAAAGAAATTTAAAAAAGAACGAAGCAAAATTTCCGCGCGGTGTCCGCGCCCAAAAAGTCCAAAACCGAAACAGAAGAAGCGATGTCAACCTTTATTAACTGCGTGCGCGGCGGCGCGCCACTCATACAGCCAATTAACCAATCGATCGGCCCGGGGCTCACCCGGGACCGAACCCAACCATCCGAAAAGACAACGAAAAAGGACGAAGAAGCGAGGACACTGATGCAATTTCCCTTCCATCCCAATCTCCCGTAATTGGCCCATCCTTCCCAGTTTAGGATCCCTCGTTGCTGCCGCACAGAAGATCGAGCGGAACAGAAATCGGTTCGTCACAGCGCGCCTACTGGCTTGTTTTTTCGAGAGTGGACCTCCTGTCCCGGCGGCTAGACCAGCCTAGCGTTGTTCTGTAGCGGAGCAGTACATGTCCTCTGTCATGGCTTCTGTCGAGTCTCACGACGCCCGGGGTTTCTAGAGTGCAGCTAGTGTAACAGGTTCTACAGTAAGTGCAGGGACACATTAGGGCCGTAATGAAACGAGAGAGTGAGGGCATACTCACACAAGGACCAGAAGACCCTAAATCCCAAAATTTGAGTAAGTTTTTGGGTCACTTTGGAGAGGCCCGCTACCCAAATGTCTCAAACGGTGACCCTTTTGTCAGCGGCCTGCGGGGCCACAGGAGGACCATTTCTGATTTTTTTTTATTTTTTTTTTGGGTTTAAGAGCCCTTGTGTAAGCCCTCCATTCCGATGGTGGTAAGAGAACCACCAGAATCGAGGTCTTATCTATCAGGCTGCTCCATCTATTGGTGGGGAGCGGCACCTGCTGGAAACCGGGTCCAGCGTCCCTCGAAAACAACATTCAAGACGAAACATCCGAGTCATTTATTCGTAGGCTGTACCTGTATCTTTTTCCCTCCGGGTTCCCCTTGTCCCATGGAGCTGCCAGTCTTCCCAATCCCGAATTAGGGCACCCATTCCTCATTTAGGCAGCCTTAATATGCAGCCCCCCATTGTACCTCGACACTTTCTATTGTTCCCAGAGGGCCTTCAGTCCCTGTGGACTCTCACTTCATCTTATCCTGCACTATCTTGCCAGATCCAAAAGAACCCATGGTTGGCCTGTGGTCCTATCTGCGCCTTCTGCCAACTGTCGTAGCCGAGGTATATTGAGAGGTAGCTTATCTGTGCATCTTTGCGCGTGTCTCCCTTAAACCCTGTAAACCTCAAAAACCCTATACCCTGCCGAGACTGTGTGTGCCAAATTACTGTACTGTATGTGTCCCTCCCCAAGCACTACGTTTGTGTCCCTCCGTATGGCCGTAGTGCCTCTGTCAGAGTTGTCACTCCGCCGTTGATGTCTTTCTTGTTATACTCTCCTACCGTTGCCAGTCAATCCGCCAGTCCCACTTGAATCATGCTGTAGTCGCCGGGGCGAGTGCCAGGATAGGAGCCGTTGTGCGGGGCGGGTGCAACAGGCCCAGCGAGGTCGGGGGAGGAAGGGGGGGCAACCGGGGCAACGGGGCAGGCGGCACAGGAGTAGGGAGCAGCACAAAGTTGGCGTCGGGTTTCCTTTGCCATTGGGGTTCCGTTGTCCCCCACGGTTTCCATTTAATGTCCAATTTGTTATCTAGTTCCGAGAACAGTTTGGCAGGGTCTTGCCAAGTATGCATGTACGAGTCTCGGATTATTTCCCTGGTAGGAGGGTCTTTTTCCTCCGAAAGATCACGCTTCATCGCCTTCCATGCTTCCTGGGTTTCGGACCTAATCAGGTCTTCCGCTGCTTGTTGCGCCTGCATCAGCCCAAATTGGTGGTCCTTTATCTCAAATGAGCAT